GAGGTTTCAGGGTTTCAAATGAACACTTTTTTATTTTGTCCAAACTAATAGTCATGGAAATAAAAATGCTAGAAAGTCGATTTTCGTGTTCCGTTACATGTGTGAACCACTGTAGTTACAAGTCAATTGATATAAATCTTAGACGTATTGTATTTATATACTGAAAAAAACACATCAATCTCCTTCCCAGAATTCATTATTATTATTTTAGATAGGTTAAGTCTTTTGAAATCGATTAGGTAGATATATGGCTACATCTGTCAAATATTCAATTGGCGTACTTAAAATTGAAACTTGAGGGTTGGAGGCAATGGTGGTATATGAGGTCTCATGAAGATCCTCAATGCCATTTCATTTACGTTCGTTGCTCGTTGCTTGGCGTGAAGATGGAGATACACTTGATAAGAAAAATAATAATTCTACCTTTTCGAACCGACTTAATAACGATAAGCGATAATTAGATTGTAACGTACCAAACCGAATATCTACTGAAGCATCGTGAATAATGATCTTGCGATGGTCAAGAATAATCATCATCAACCTCTGTAACAAAGATTTAGAGTCAGTATCTTGATTTTTTATTTGATTAATAATAATCATTTTAATATAAAAGTATAATTTTAAGTAAAATACATGCATAAAAGTATTTATAGAATTTGGTTATTTTAAATATACGGTGTAACTTCTTCAGCTTTATTTTCGTTATAGTTTAGTATAGTATAGTATAATATAATAAAATATACTTGATGACATTATTGCTGTTTTCTAGTTAATTTGAATTAAACGATAATGGTTTTTAGACATTAAATTATGTAACAAAAATAATTTTAAAGAAGCTTTATTACATATTTACGTATCATTAGAGAATTCTATTGGTTAATTTATAACGCCACGCCATCGATTACAAAAATTGTGCTGATCACACTAACTCGAAAACAGCAATACGCAACGATACCAATAAATAATTATTTTTTATTTATATGAAGTACCATGTATGCAACAGTATATAAAAAATGAAATAGTTTTGACATCCAACTAAAAGAAAAATACTGTCGTTATGCATATTGCATATATTATTTAACGGAAACTATAACTGATAGATCCGAATAGTAGTAAATTATTTTTCAAGTCTATTTATATTTGTTTTCAAGTGATTTCGGAATTTTTTTGCATAGCTTCCATAAAAGTTACATTGTTTAAATGCAATGTGTTGTCATTTCCCTCCTTTTTCCAGCACTCGTAGTGTTTCCATACTTAACCATGTTCACGCATAAGTTAAACGCACCTACATCAATATTACAGAAAACATGAGAACTTCTATTAAAAAATATATGATCAATTAAAAAAAGGAAGTGAATATCCTTTAGTGTTTGAAGTTGTGCTTTATATCATTTGAATCAAGCCATTGTTCTTTTCTTATTGTTGCAAAAGGCATCGATAATACATTTCTTTGTGTTCTTTGTTATTGTATTCAATAGAAGAAGCAGAGGGCGAAAGTCAATCATAAACTTCCTAATAAAAGATGATTTGTTTACTATAGACAAAGTCTCCAACTATCTTCTATACATGCAAGTGGGATACTTACACCGTACCCGAATATTGTAGAAACATTCGATCTTGGCGTATTTTTTCATTTTTCTTTGTAAGGTATTTTTGTAAGCTAGACCAATTTTTGTTATCCTTGCTCTTTGATGCATCTAAAATTTTCTTATCTTTAAGTAATCAGAACCCGTTTTAAGACTGGCTGTGTTATATAAGAGTTTTTGAAAGAATTGTCAGTATTATAAATACTTTTCACCGAATGTGACTTTAAAATACAATTCCGATTATAAGCAACCCCGATTTTGCAGGGGTCGTTTATCCGTGGA